AAATACCTTAACAACTATAATACATAGTAGAGCAAGAGTCAGTTGAGCCTTCTTATGTGATAAAGTCAGGTGAGTCTGCCAAGGAGGTGATGTTGAAATGAGCACCTCAAGGAAGGAGGTTTGTTTGGAGAGAACCATGAGAAAAGGCATTGGATCATGGGCAAATGTCCTGTGGTGACAAAGAGTGTGGTGACAGTATGGCTTAGCACCATGTGAGAGGATGAGAGTGGAAAGGCATGAGATAAACATGCCTTTACATGAGAAATGAGGTAGAATGGGAAATGTTAGGAACCAAGTGAGGGAAGAGGCAGAGATGGGGAGGAATGATGAGTAGAGGAACCATTAGGTGGGGATGTGGAGGGTCTTGTTGAGATCAAAGCCATGTGCAGAAAATGAGGTGCCATATTGGCTCTCCCAACCATGCTGAGTCAGCCATTATTGACCAAAACCACAAAGGTTATCCCAGGTAGAACCAGAAGAACCACTAAAGCAAACCAAAGAATTGAAGAAATAACCAATTGTTTATTTATTTTTTTTGTGTTATTGTATTTTTATACCTTTATTTTATTATTCTATTTATATGTGGTACTGATGATCAAACCTGGTGCCTCACACATGCTAGGCAAGTGCTCTACCATTGAGCCACAACCCCAGCCTCAATCGTTTATTAAAAATTTTTTAGACTTATTTTTTTTAGTTATACATGACGGTAGAGTATATTTTGGCATATTTATACAAATATGGAATATATCTTATTCTAATTATGATCCGATTTTTGTGATTGTACATAATGTGGAGATTCACTGTGATGTATTCATTTATGTGCATAAGAGTTATGTTAGATTTATTCCACTGTCTTTCCTATTCTGGTCCCTCTTTCCTCCCTTTTTTTCCCTTTGTCTAATTCACTGAACTTCTATCCCTCCCTTGTTATGGCTTAGCATCCACATATCAGAGAAAACATTCAACCTTTGGTTTTTTTGGGATTGGCTTATTTCACTTAACAACATTCTCCAGATGCATCCATATATTGACAAATGTCATCAAGTCATTTCTCTTTATGGCTGAGTAATATTCCATTGTGTATTATGTACCACATTGTCTTTATCCATTCATCTGTTGAAGGACACCTAGGTTGGTTCCATAGAATAACTATTGTGAATTGAGTTGCTATAAACATTGATGTGGCTGCATCACTGTAGTATGCTGACTTTAAGTCCTTTGTGTATAAACTTAGGAGTGGGATGACTGGGTCAAATGGTGGTTTCATTCTAAGTTTTCTAAGGAATCTCTATAATGCTATCCAAATTGGTTGTACCAATTTTCAGTCCCACCAGCAACATATGAGTGTACCCTTTTCCCCACATCCTGGCCAACATTGTTACTTGTATTCTTGATAATTGCCATTCTGACTGGAGTGAGATGGAATCTTAGTGTAGTTTTAATTTGCATTTTTCTAATCGCTAGAGATGTTGAACATTTTTTATGTATTTGTTGATCGATTGTATTTCTTCTTCTGAGAAGTGTCTGTTCAGTTCCTTAGCCCATTTATTGATGGGCTATTGGTTTATTTGTTTTTTTGGTGTTAAGTTTTTTGAGTTCTTTGTATATCCTGGAGATTAATGTTCTATCTGAGGTGTGTGGTAAAGATTTTCTTCCATTCTGTAGGCTCTCTTTTCACACTTTGTTTCCTTTACTGTGAAGAAGCTTTTTAGTTTGATACCATCCTGTTTATTGATTTTTGATTTTACTTCTTGTGCTTTAGGAGTCTTGTTGAGGAGGTTGTTTCCTAAGATGACCTGTTGGAGCATTAGACCTACTTTTTTTTTCCTAGCATGTGCAGGGTTTCTGGTCTAAGACCTAGGTATTTGATTCACTTTGAATTGAGTTTTGTGCAAGGTGAAGAGACAGAGGTTAAATTTCATTCTACTACATATATATTTCCAGTTTTCCCAGAACCATTTGTTGAAGATGCTAACTTTTCTCCAATATATGTTTTTAGCACCTTTTTCAAGTATGAGATAACTGTATTTATGTGAATTTGTCTCTGTGTCTTCTTCTTTTCTGTTCCATTGTTATTCATGCCTGTTTTGGTGCCAATACCATGTTGTTTTTGTTACTATAGCTGTAGTATAATTTAAGATCTGGTACTGTGATGCCTCTTGCTTCACTTTTCTGAAAAGATTGGCTCCCAGTGGCCAACACATGTGCTGGGAAATGCCTTGGCCCTTCCAGATCCTGCTGGATATAATTTTGGCCCTCAAAGCATCTGGCTGTAGATGGGGATCACACATTCTGAACTCCTCGCCCTGCACGGCTATCCCCATCTCTGTTCCTTCAGCTTTGCCCTCAACATCCTGCCTCATGGGCCATCTTCAGAACCTGGCAGTTTAGTGGAGATGATATATTTCATCATTTTCACTTCTGTATGTAGCTCTTTTAAGTAACTATCAATCAAGAGAAAGTTGTTGAGCTCTGTGACAGACCTCAAGGTCCTCAAGGACCACAGACATTCAAAAGACTTCTCTATGCTCCTGCCTAATCTATTGATGTCTTATAGACTCTAATTATCTACTGCTTCATGACAAACCACCTAAAATATTGCCAAAATAACCATACTACCAAAAGCACTAAACAGATTTAATGAAATTCCTATTAAAAGTCCAATGTCGTTCTTCATAGAAATAGAAAGAAAAAAGTCATGAAATTCATTTGGAATAATAAGAGACCCAGAATAGCCAAAGCAATCCTTACCAAGAAAAGTGAAGCAAGAGGCATCACACCCTGGGATGCCGGGGTTAAGTCTATAAGAACAAAGTTGGGGTCAGGGTTTCTATAAGGTTAATGGGAGGTTCTCAGCTTACTCATTGTCTCAGTAAAACTAGATGTGTATACCTAAAAGTGAAAGTGGAACTACTTACTTTCTCTGAGATTTATAAGGATCAAAAAGCTCTGACAGTGACTATGGTGGGACCAGATTGTGGGGATTCAGTTGTTTTGATGTTCACAAGTGGCACGGTCTCCAGCCCTGATTCTCAAGGACTGGGTGCTCTGGGAGATGCTACTTCTTTTTCATGAATACATGCACAACACATGGATGAAAAACTGGATGAGGGAATGGATGCTTGAATGAGCAAAGCTTCCTTTCTCCTTTACTCTCTGGTCAGTTTCCCAGTGTCCACCATCCTGTGCTGAGGAGGGAAGAGTGACAGATCATTTTTGTGGTTGCAGCTGTGACTGGACAAGGGGTGATCAAGATGTCCTATATCTGCAGTGATTCTCCTCACCCCTCGCCAGAGCCGATTTTGCGGTTGGCCAGAGAGGCAGCAGGAAGAAGGACACATCTCCTTCAGTTGCCCTAGCTGACCAATTTGAGTGAGGTCTGCTCCTTGTCAGGGAAATAAAGGACAAGGGGAAGCTCAAGGCTCTATAGAACTAATATTAGGGAATAATAAATTTAATTAGCCAAATATTTATGAGAAAGGGAGGACTGGTGCTTTCCCAGCTGCTCAGTGCCATATAGAACACATAAGGTCACTTCACCCATAGTCATAGAGCTGTGCAGATTTAAGGAGAAACTTTGACTCCAGCTTTTGATTGAGCCCGTGGGAAAAGAGAACTTCGGGGCCATCTTAGAATTACTTCTGGCTATGTTTTGAATGTTTGTGTCTCCCCAAATTCCCATGTTGATCCTCACCTCCAACGTGTCATTAGCAGGGCCTTTTGGAGGTGATTATGTTATAGGGAAGAATCCTTATGAACAGGATTGGTACTTTTACAAAAGAGGCCAAGAGGGGTCTCTTGCCTCTCCACCACATGAGATTGTAGCGAGAACCCAATCTACTCTGAACCAAGACACAGGTCCTTGCCACACACCAAATCTACCAATGTCTTGATAGTAGAGTCCCCCTACCCCACAACTTTGAGGTCTGTGAGAAATTCCTGTTATTTACAAGCTGCCCAACCTATGGTATTTTGTTGTAGCAGCCCAAATGAACTAAGAAACTTCTGTACTGGTTTCCTAGGACCTAAGTGACAAGGTTCCATTAACTAAGAGGCTTAAATAACAAAAATTAATTGTCTCACAATTCTAAAGGCCAGAAGTCCCAAATCAAGTTACTGGCAAAGTTGATTTCTTCTGAGGGTTTTGAAGGAAGATATGTTCCAGATTTTTCTCTTGGCTTGAAGATGACCTTCTCCTCTCTACATCACTTATCAGCTTCCCTGTATCTGAGCTCAAATTTCTTATTTTTATAGGGACACCAGATGTACTGGATCAGGGCTCTATTCTTATGGTCTTATTTAACCATAATTACTTCCTTAAAGGTCTTCTCTCCAAATTAGTCCCACTGCGGGGGTTATGGCTTCAATGTGTGAATTTGGGGGACATAGTTTAGTCTACAACAGGGCCAAAAATGTGTCTCCTTAGTGAGCTGAGAGCAGGAAGAGGAATAATTCTGGGTCCCCTGGTACTTTTCTCTTGAAGTCCAATCATTCCACCTTGTCCTAGGAGGGGAAAGAGCCAGGTTAAAGGTGTTACTGAGTTTTGGAAAGGCACAGAGCGTCCCACTGTCTTCAGGATCCCCAACACTTGCAGGTGTTTTAACTACCCTGAGGATGTGTCCTCTCCATTTTACTAGGCATCTACATTTGGATGAGAAACTTATTTCTGTGAGGCTTAGCTTCCTCAAGGGGGAATTGATGTCACTCTCCCTCAGGGACCTGAGTTCACCAGCCAACCTCCTAGGCACTGATCTGTAAGCTTTCAGCAGGTGCTTCCTCCCCAAACCCTTCCACATGGCAAGGCCAGAGCCACAAAGCCTGCCGTGGGACCGTTCTTTTAACTGACAATGCCAACCCAAGAAAGTCTGGGATGGTAGTGAGTAGGAACTAGGGTTGCAATGGCTCCTCCCCTTGGAGCAGGGAGGAAGAGGCTGGCTTATCCTACAAAGGCCCCAGGAGCAGTAGCCTCGGGAAGTAGAGTTCTGCCGGTGTGCACCATGTCCTGGGTTCCCGTCCTGCTCATGCTGTTAGTCTACTGCACAGGTGAGGGAACTCCCAGTGTCCAAAGCCTTCTGCTCCTTCTCTTGCTTTGCCCTGCCTCCGTGGGGTAACCCACATGCTTCTGTGTTCCCAGGTTGTGTTCCTCAGCCTGTGCTGCATCAGCCACCATCCATGTCTTCACCTCTTGGAACCACAGTCCGCCTTACCTGCACCCTGAGCAGCAACTATAACATTGGTGTTTATAGCATCTACTGGTACCAACAGAGGCTGGGCAACTCTCCAAGGTTCTTGCTAAGATACTTCTCATACTCAGATCAGCACTGGGGTCCCAATGTCCCCCATCGCTTCTCTGGATCCAAAGATGTGGCCAGGAACCGGGGGTATTTAATCATCTCCAAACTGAAGTCTGAGGATGAGGCAATGTATTTCTGTGCTGTGGGTCCCCAAAGCATGGAGAGGGAAAAGATGGAGAGGGAGAGCAGGGAAGAAAAGGATCCTGCTGCTTCAGGATCCCAGATGCCCCAGGACATGTATACCTGAATTGAAGACAAGGTTTCACTCAGAGAGGCTGGTGTGGGAAGGGGGAGGATAGAAGCATGGGGCTGCACAGAGCCCAGGAGATAGGGACACTTAGCTCCTTCTTGTCTAGCAGTATGGCTGTAAACCTCATTGGAAGCTAGATTACAGAATTAAAGCTTTTTTGTGTTTTCAGAAGTTGTTTTGCTGAGTTTGGTCTGATTGCATGATCTCATGGGATGAAACTGACTAACTTAGGGCACAGGTCCCAGGAAAGTTACCAACCACAGTCTACTCAGTCAAGGCCCTGTGGGCAGTTTCACCTGAGCCTCTACTCAGGGTTATGGGGGCGGGGGGGAAGGAGAACAAGAGACTGACACTAGTGCCTTGGAGCAGGAACATCCTTGCCGAGGACAGGACCTTCTATTGTCATCTGATTATGCCCAGGAGTTATGAGGTGAACAAGGTTAAGAAAACACTTTTTATTGGGCCCTTGGGGAGGACAATAGGAGCCAAGTGAAAGAGATATAGCAGGCTCCCCACTTTGGTACTGTTTTTTTTTTTTTTAAAATAAATTCAATATCCCTGACATAGAATGCATTTTTTTAACTTTAAAATATTTGCAGTTTTCTTTTATTAATAACAAAACCGACATACTTATTTTTATTTGTTCTAATTACTTATACATGGCAGTAGAATGCATTTAGACACATCATACATAAATGGAGTATAACTTCTCATTCTTCTGGTTGTACATGATGTAGAATCATACTGGTCATACAATCATATATGCACATAGGGTAATTATGTCTGATTCATTCTACTATCCTCACTACCCTCATATCCTCTCCTCTCCCTTCACTTCCCTCTGTTTAATCCAAAGTACTTCTATTCTTCCTTAGAAGTATAGACACCCCCCTCCTTTTTGTGAGTTAGCATTCACATATCAGAGGAAACATTTGGCCTTTGGTTCTTTGGGATTGGCTTATTTTGCTTAGCATGATATTCTCTAGCTTTATCTATTCACTGGCAAATGCCATAATTTCATTCCCCTTTAAGGCTGAGTAATATTCCATTATGTGTGTGTGTGTATGTGTGTGTGTGTGTGTGTATATATATATATATATATATATATATATATATATATATATATCTCACATTTTCTTTATATTCATAGGTTGAAGTACACTTAGGTTCCATAGTTTACCTATTGTGAATTGAGCTGCTATAAACATTGATGTGATTGCATCACTGTAGCATGCTGATTTAAAATCCTTTGGATATATACTGAAGAGTGGGATACCTGGGTCAAATGGTGGTTCCATTTATAGTTTTTTTTTTTTTTTTTTAGGAATATCCATACTGCTTTCCAGAGTGGTTGCACCAATTTGCAGTCCCAACAGCAATGAACACACTGATTTTATACATTTAAATTATTTCGAGATTTCATGACAATAATTACCTATATAGTATGGCCCAGAAATGAAAATATACAAAATATTTTTAGAAACACATGTATTTCTACTGTATCATACAAAGATACATATTTTTATTTATTTATTAAAAGGTGTTGATGGACCTTTATTTTATTTTTTATTTATTTGTATGTGGTGCTGAGAATCGAACCCACTGCCTCATGCATGCAAGGCAAGCACGCTACCACTGAGCCACAACTTCAGCCCCCATATTTATTTTTAAAATAAAGACTTGGAAAATGAAACCAGTTAATCAAATTTTTACCAAACTATGACAAGAAACCTTTTATGCAAAAAAAAAATTGGTGCAGAAATAACACTTTTAACTTTTCTAGTGTCTTAAAAATCACACTAATTCTATAAATTGCTATTTCTAAATATATAATTTTAATTGTTCCTGCCCATTTCTGTCATGCTTACAATAAAACATAAAAGTGATCTATATAAAATAAATGAAATTGTTACATTTAAAACTTTTCTTAATATAAAAGATAACATTCACATATCAGAGAAAACATTTAGCTTTTGTTTTTTGAGGGACTGGCTTATTTCACTTAGCATTATAGTCTCTAGTTCTATTTACTGGCAAATGCCATAATTTCATTCTTCTTTATGACTGAGTAATACATACCACATTTTCTTTATCCATTCATCGTTAAAGGGCACCTAGGTTGGTCTCATAGATCAGATCATATCTTATTTTTCTATTTAACTTTATATTGTACTACTTTACATGGAAGAAGTATCCTGACGACATGATACTTTACATACATTCTTTGATACTCACATCTAAATTGATGATAGTTCACAGTCCACTTAAATAATTTTCTAGTAGATATTAATAAGATCATATGTATAGTTCTACTCTTTTTGAAACTCAAGATATTCAGGTTTTATTATTACTGCCTTGGGAAACACTGAATTTAAAAAAAAACATGCAAATCACTCATGGTACTTGTCATAACATTTGAGCAAAAGTTGATGATTCTTCATTTTTTTTGAGTCTCTCTCTCTCTCTCTCTCTCTCTCTCTCTCTCTCTCTGTACTGGGGATTGATCCCAGGGTTGTTCTACCACTGAGCCACATCCCCAGACCTTTTAAATTCTTTTCTATTTTGAGATAGATTTTTCTTGTGTTGCCAAGACTGGCCTCGCCAGACAGGTTTTCCTTTCGTTGCCAAACTTGCCATCCTCCTGCCTCACCCTCTGGAGCCACTGGGATTACGGGTGTGTGCCAACATACCCAGCTTGAGTCTACTTTTTTTTGATACCAAGGATTGAACTTGGAGGCACTTAACCACTGAGCCACATCCCCAGCCCTTTGTATTTTTTTTTTTATTTTGAGTCAAGGTCTCACTAAGTTTCTTAGGGCCTCATTAAATTGCTGGTGCTAGCTTTGAACTTATGATCCTCCCACCTCAGCTCACAAGCTGCTGGTATTACAGGTGTGTGCCACCATGCCCAGCAAATCTCTGTTTTTAAATACATTTATTTTACTAAAAAATGAAGAAAAAAATTCTTTTTTCCCAATGAAGCAGAATTATGAGAAGAGAAATAATTATACTTCAAAGCTGGGTATATTTTGTAGAACTTAAAATTCAGTTCTCATTGTTCTTCTGCAATATAATCAAACCCATTTATTTTAACAATATAAACAAAACAGTAAGAGTCTTTACAAAATCATGACTATAGGCTTGGAGTATCATTTAGTTGTCAAGTGCAGGCCCAGTGTGTGCAAGGCCCTAGGTTCAATCCTCAGCACCCTCCCTCCCCCAAATTATGATTACAATCAAAAGCTTTAAACAGGAGTGTTGAAATTTGGCTCAGGGATGGAGCTCTTGTCTAGCATCTGTGAGGTGCTGGATTTTGCCCCAGCACTGCAAAAAGAAGAAGAAGGAGGAGGAGGAAGAGGAGGAGGAAGTTTGGAACAGTATGATAAATCTAATAGAAATCTCTTTTTAAAAATTTTTTTTTATTAGTTGCTCAAAACATTACAATGGCAATCTCTTAAACTCCATTTTAAGATAGTTCTGCTTCCAAATAACATTTTAAAATGGTCTCCAACAATCTGATTATAATTAGTCATCACCATTTTAGGAATATTTTTTCAATATTCAAAAAGCATAATATTTGGCATCAGAAAGTACTTTTGATTTGTGAATAAAAAAATCATGTACTAATGTCAGTGGTTCCTGTGACAGATACATTTCCTCTTTCAAGTAATGCCTGTTCCACAATTAAAGTAGCACTCTGTTTTTATTTTTCTGAGAGTTTATTAAAGAAACCACAAACCACATTTTTTTTTTTTTAGTTGAGGTGAAAAAACGGCTTCATAAGTTCATATGTTGTAAAAGTCACTGCTTGAGAGGGAATACACAGAATGAAATTAAGGGATAAACCACAATATAATCCTTTTCAAATTCTGTGGTGTCAACAGACATAGTTCATAGTCTCCCGCATGGTAAGGTGCTTTTCAAAATCTGGTGGAATAGTTCCTAGTTATATTTTCTGATGAGTTACATCAAATGGGTATGATATTGCCTATGTTGTTGCAACAGCAACACCAGCACAATGTAAGTTAATGTGTTTTCAGCACCATGACTTTAGGATTGTCTGATGAAGGTCTGCTAAGAAGGGTAAGAGCATGGGAAAGCCCAACACTCTTTAAGATAATCAAAAGTAAAAAATGAAATACCTGCAGCAGCCATGTCAATGTTTATAGCAGCACAATTCACAATAGCTAAACTGTGGAGCCAACCTAGATGCCCTTCAGTGGATGAATGGATAAAAAATGTGGCATATATACACGATGGAATTTTACTCAGCAATAAAAGAGAATAAAATCATGGCATTTGCAGGTAAATGGGTGGCACTGGAGAAGATAATGCCAAGTGAAATTAGCCAATCCACAAAAGAAAACAAATGCCGAATGTTTCCTCTGATATAAGGGGGCTGACTCATAGTGGGGTAGGGAGGGGGAGCATGGGAGGAATAGATGAACTCTAGATAGGGCAGAGGGATGGGAGGAAAACGAAGCAGGCAAGGGGTTAGCAAGGATGGTGGAATGCGATAGACATCATCATCCAAAGTATATGTATGAAGACTCGAATTGGGTGACAGCATACTTTATATATAAACAGAGATATGAAAAATTGTGGTATATATGTATAATAAGAATTGTAGTGCAAAAAAACCAAAAAGTTCATGTATAAAGGCATGAATTGGTGGGAACATACTTTATATACAAAGATATGAAAATTGTACTCTATATGTGTAACAAGAATTGTAATGCATAAAAAAGAAGCCATTCCTAATATAGTGAGCATCAGTCTTTGTAAAAATCCAAGGAAACCACCTTTGCATAAATTGTTTTGAATGCATGAATGATTCCTGTGTAGGTGTGTTGCCCTTTCATCTGGAATGCTCAATGTATTCTAACCATGTCAAGAGGGTAAGTACAGATAACTGCTGTCATACCTGTGATGGATCCATCCATTAATCTGTGAACACGACCATAGGGAAAGATTTGAATCATCATTGCACCATTTCCTTTATACAATCCCAGGTGTCCTTCTCTTTGGAGAGCAA